ACCAAGCGACACATGCCGATGCTGGAAATGTGATGCATCCTCGGCTGGTTGGCATGGTACGATGCGACGACCGCAGCGGTGCAAAGTACCTAGGTACCCGCACGTGTCTTTTCGGAACACGGTGACGGCTGCTTGACGGTTCAGCATCCCGCCATATGCACTACCCTCTCCTCTGCCCGACCGGCCGAGAAAACTGCATCACCGTCTGCCACAGCCTGCGAATGAGAGCCGAACGGCTGTGGAGCACCAGTAACACGAGTTGGTTACACGACCACCGGCGGCAGATGCCGTGGGCTGAGGAGATACGTTCACAATCCGGTGGCTCGCCGCTCGCAGCGGCAGGTACCGGAGGTGAAGCTCAGCCGCACGGGGGGTTGCCAGATTGACTGGCCGACCGCGCTCTTCTCCGCCGCCGCTCTTCTACGACAAACCCCCCTCCGCCGCAAAGCATCGGAAATGCCATAAAACGCACCTATTCCCCGCCCGGCTGTGTATTCCCCTACCCAGCCAGCACCTCCATCCGCACTCGCAACGCTACGCAGGAACCCCCCGCCCTTTTCACGTCCGCCTTACCATCCAAATTTCCCATCCTCGATTCGACTCCATCCGTCTGCACTTCGAACAACCCCGCCATCAGTCAATATGCGTTTCTCCCTCGCGTTCACCGCCCTCTTCCTCGCCCTCGCCGTCGCCGCTCCGAGCCCAGGACCGAAAGACCGTTCCTGCTCACCCGAGCAGCGAATGATGTGTCGCAAGAGCGGCAGCTGCGCGGAGCGCGGTTAGTCTCCCCCCCCCCCCCCCCCCCTCCTCTCATTGCCCATTCTCCGCAGGCAACGTGCTTCTGACACGCCCCAGAGTGCACGCCGGAGGAGGTCAGCGCCGGCGACCGCAGCGTCTGTCACGACCATGGATGTCCTGGCTACAACGCGTGTCTCGCGAGTGCGGGGCTGCCGCTGATGAAGTGTAAGATGGGAAATTGAGTGGTATGGCTAGGGTCCTCTGGGAGGGAGGCGAGGGGGGAGGGGGCGGGTGGCGGGGACGGGAGTGTGCAAGAAGCATGTAATGCGAGGCGGCATAGAGAGGATGGATGTAGGAGGAGTACTGAACGGCGATGTAATCGAGAGTCGTGGCGGGGAGGCGCCAGGTCGTGGACGTGGGTGTGATGGTTTTGTGCACGGTGATCGGAATTTGTGTGTTTTTTCTCGTGGTACGCGGGGGAATTTCTGTGCAGGGACGTGGATATAAGCAATTACTGAAAGCAGTTAGCTAGGAGAATGACACTTCAATTCTGCCCCGCTTTTTTCTGGTCCCCCCCATTGCAATAAATCTGTTGCGCAACGGGAGCGGTACATGGCGGGGTTGTGCACTGCTTCTGTGTTCTCCGATCCTGTCGAGAAGTTCCGTGTTCCGGCGGAGCAGATTGTGTGTCCCATCTGCAGGCCTCCTGCAGGGAGTGCCCGCGTGCCGAGCGGGGTGTGTGCGGGGAAACTGCCAAGCGATGTCAGCACCGGAGGATCAATCTCTGTTGAACATGTATTGCACTGTAGAGTAGAGTAAAGTGTCCCTCTCTACTCTGATACCAGGCCTCCATCCAGTGTCAGGCCGTTCCTTCTCTCCATCGCCTCCAACGCACTCGAGCATCCGCCGCGCCGTCAGCCGACACACAGACGTCGGACACTCCAATAACTGTCGAGCGAACCCACCTCGAGAACACCTCTGGCCGCGATCTGTCGCTCTCGGCTGCTAGCTCCCGGTTGTAGCGGCGATCGCCGTGACAGCACTCCACCCCCGCCATCACAGCGAACACTCGCAGCGACGACATCGCTCACCACGCGCATCAACGCGACTGGGATGTGTCGCTGGAAACAGCGGGCGAAGACAGACCTGCGACACATTTCACTGCGGCAACTGTGAATCCGATTCCAACAGGACCGATCTCCAAGCCACCCTGCAGCGAGCGCCATCGGCCAGTCCGGCGCGGCGAAGACTCGTAACCGACAGCTACGTTCCGGCCAGGTGATCCAGCGACAGTTGCAGAAGTGAAGCAAAGCTTGCTGGCAATCCACGCGAACCGCGAAAATGGAATCTCTCCGCGCTCCACAGCTGCACTTCCATTTCCCCCTAACGGCGCCATGCGAGACCCGGCTGATGTGTCGCGGTCCACTGCGGCCAGGCGGCTTCGAGCATTGGTTACGCGACCACCCCGATCTCGCGCTGAAAAACACTCTGATCGACATCATCCGCTTCGGCGCCAAAATCGGCTACACGGGCCCGGAGCAGCTGATCGTCGGCAAGAATTCAACTTCCGCGTTCAAGGACCCGACGGCCATCGCTGCCGACATCCACAAACGCTCGGGGCTGCACCAGATCCAGGAGATCCCCGCTGCCCAACTGCCCGCAAAGTTCATCTCGTCGCCGCTCAGCCTCACGCCGAAGTCCGACGGCAGCTGGCGGCGCATCCACAACCTCTCCTCGCCCGCCGGCCGGTCCGTCAACGACCACATCCCGCACGACTGGGGCACGCTGAAATTCACGCACTTCGACGACGCGGTGAACGCGATCCGCCTCGCGGGGCCGGGCACAACCCTAGTCAAGCGCGACCTGGCCGACGCATACCGGCACATCCCGGTGCACCCGTCGGACTGGTGGCTCCTCGGCTTCAGCTGGGAAGGGCGCTACTACATCGACCAGTACCTGCCATTCGGGCTGCGCACCGCGCCCATTATCTTCGACCTCTTCTCCTCGGCGCTCGAGTCGATCCTGCGCCGCGAGGGCTGGGACCTAACGCTCCACTACCTCGACGACTTCCTGGGCATCATCCCGTCGCACCGCGCCGCCCCCGCCTTCATCCGCGACTTCGACCGCATCACCGCCGCCCTCGGCTTCAAGATCAACACCAAAAAGAACGACCACGGCACGTGCGTCACCTTCCTCGGCATCGAGATCGACACCATCGCGATGGAAGCCCGCCTTCCGCCCAAGAAACGCGCCAACGCCGTCCGTCAACTCAAATCCATCCTCCATGCCCGCCAAGTATCATTCTCAGACCTCGAATCCCTAACCGGCAGCCTCGCCTTCGCCGCGGGCATCGCGCCCACCAGCCGCGCGTTCCTGCGCAGCCTGTACGAGCTCCAACAATCGCACACGCGCAGCCGCGGCAGCGCTATCCAGCTCACCCCGGAGGCCCGCGAAGACCTGCTGTGGTGGGTCTCGTTCCTCGACGTCTGGAACGGCAAGCTCCGCCTCTCACCGCCGAAACGGACGTTTCGTATCTGGATATCCGCGTCCGGGGCGGGAGTCGGCGGGTACTTCCTCCATGACAACCAGAAGGAGCCCGCCGACCGCTCACAAACGTTCAGCACGCGCCTCCCGCCCGCCGAGCGCGCCAGCCCTATCGAGCAGAAAACGCTCCTCGCGGCCGTGCACGCGCTCACCACCTGGGCGGACCAGCTACGCGGCAGCAAGGTTCTGCTACGATGCAATAACGCGGCGGTTACGGACGCGATACGGAAGAACCATATTGCGGGCGCGGCGAGAGCGCCGTTGCGCGCGCTTGCGAAGTTGGTCGCCGTTGGTCATGTGGTATTAGAGGTTGTGTGTGTTCCTGCGGGCGAGAATAGGTTGGCGGAGGCACTGGCGGGTGGCGATGAGGGAGGGGTTGGGGAGGCTTGTCCAAGGTTGAAGAACGCGGGGAAGGATGCAGGGAAGGAGGGGAGGAAGGGGGTGGAGATGAGGAAGGGCTCGGTGAAGGACGGGGGGAAGAGCGACAGTGTGAAGGCTGTGCAGAAGAATAAGGCTTGTCAAGAGGGGAAACAGAAGCCGAAAGTGGTGGTGATGACCGTGGCGATTGTGGCGAAGGGCCAGCCGAAGGAGAAGGCGAAGAATCGTCCGATGATTACGGTGAAGGAGGTATTGGAGAGGAAGCCGAAGGAGGCGGCGAAGGAAGCACCGAAGCCGAAGAGCAAACCGAAGGAGCCGGTGACGCCAAAGAATAAGCCCCAGGACCTGGTGAAGCAAAAATCGAAAGACGAGGGGAAGGCCACAGAGAACAGCAAGCAGAAGGGGACGGCGAACGACAAGCCAAAGAAAAAACCCAAGGATGAAGTGAAGACGACGCCAAAGGACACGTCAAAGCAGAAGGTGAAGGACACGGCGAAGCAGACGCCGCAGAACAAGCCACAGAACAAGCCCAAGGATTCTGTGAAGCCAACGCCGAAGGACACACCCAAGAGCAAGCCGAACGCCGGCAAGGATGCGCAAAAGAACAAGCCGAACGACAAGCCGAACGACAAGCCAAAGGAAACGAGGAAAGAAACGCAAAAGAACAATCCGAACGCCACGGCCAAGGACATCCCAAAACCCAAGCCGAAAGAAGCACCAAAGCCAACACCGAAAGCCACGCCCAAGAATAAGAATAAGAATGATACAGTACAAAACACAGCGAAGCCAAAACCGCAGGCGAAAGCCAACAAACCGGCGGCGAGCAAGAAATAATCCCGCTGGATAATCCTATCATTGGTACTTGAAGGTAGAGATGCGCCGCCGTACTACCTATTAGTATGTTTAATCTATCCTGTGACCGCATCATCCGTTGATCATTTGACCAGGACTGAGACAGCAGCCCGTGTGTCATAAGAGCAATCATCGTCGGTCACTCGGTGGTAGATACTGGGGCCCGCAGATTCCAATTGGTCTGATGCGGATTCCTTCAGGTTCATCTTGTACAGTTGTACTTTGAGCCTTGGTAGCTGCAACTATTCGGCACTTAACATATATAATAGATGATAGATTGGATTCGTGGATTGTGGTTTCAGGTATTCTTGTTGTGTTGTATTGCTATGTCCGTTTTGGTCGGGGCTGTTGATGCGCATGTGAATTGTGTTGATACTAAGTAATGGCAGTCTATACTATAGAAGTAAAAGAGTGATTACTAAAGGACTCGTTGGGATGACGAGCTTGGTACCGAGGCCCCAAACCAACCACGGGCGCCGCCGACGTTTCATCAGACATCACTCGGTGGCGTACCGCCGCCGGTTGTGAAGAAAAGTGGCATTTTGAAGTGGTGTACAGTGTATCAGACCTAGCCGCAAGAAAGCCTTATGTAGGGGAGGCGGGGGCGCCTCGGATTGAGGCCGCTCCCCACCTCCCAGGACTGTCAACCGTCCGTCCGGACTACAGTCCACTAGTGGACTGTAGTCCCGTCCCGTTCCGGGCAGGCTTTCCAGAGGACTGATCCATTCCGCCCGGAGGATGAAGTGTCCGGATGCCCGCCAGGTACCTATGCGTACCTGATAGCACTAGCGTGCTATGCTGACGAATAGTTTGCGAAGTAGTATATAGCGCGGTGACCACCAACATAATTTTCAGCCCTGAGCAGAATTTTCAGCGTCGTCAAACAATCGAGCTCAGGGGATAGACACTGCTGGAAGTAGGAACGGGGATGGTGTGAAAGTTCTATACCGTGAGAGACACTACGAAATGGAGCTGCACAGCCACACATCCGTACACCTGCGCCACTGTGTGGCGCCACGCTGCTTGCATTGTCCTAGTGTCCCAGTCAATTCCGGGCCCTGTAGGGTATCCGTTCTCATTTCTCCAGCCCGGAGGACTGTACTCCTTGGTCTCCTCAGCCAGACTAATTCCGTCCCAGGCCGGGCAACCTCAAAAGACGGACGGGACGGACGGTTGACAGCCCTGCCACCTCCGTGAGAACGGTCCGAACGGATACCGGATGGGAAGTGATCTCGTACGACACGGTACACAGAAGTTCGTGAGATCATGATAGCCGGTGCCTCAATAGGGGCTGGGTATCGACGTATCTATTGATCTATGGATGCAGTTTTGGCCTTTGAACGGATTTATGTCCGCTGAACCCTATCGAGTCACTGGTTACGACCTTACGAAGAATCGCACTGGATGCTGCAATTTCCCTCGGTGCCGATACGTTCTTTAGTAGCTATCCGGCTATGTGCGTGACACGTCCTTCTCCTCCTCCGCAGCCCGCGTTGATTCGATCCATTTGGTACATTATAGACATGCAGAAAGACCAAATGAGGGTAGAGTGGAAGGTCAACCGTCAATGGAAATTTAATCGTCGCAGTGATTACTAGCGTGTATGAAATGTAGCAGTATGAAGATTGAAAAACTTGATAATTATCTCTCTCTTGCTGCCGCAATAGATCCACTACATACACGTGCTATCTAGCTGACCTGCCGGCTTCACCGGCGACCAACTGCGCCGGAGCTGAATCACAGCGCTGTGGGCACTAAATCTGACTCGGACGCTTGATGTGTACTCCCGCGCCTAGCCCTCCGGCTCCCAAGAAGTTCGCACAAGGTATCGGACGTCTGGGTACATCTGACAGGTACCAGCGGATAGCCCTCCGACAAGTTGCTCGAAGCACCCCCGGACCGTCACTATCAACTACATTTGACGTTCTTTTCCGAGATTGACGCAGTCTGAAAATATGTAGGTAGGTCGGATAGTTCCACTTTACTCGACTACCTAGTAGTACTGGTAATATTGTTACGGAATATCAATAATGCAACCACCGTCACGACGGAAATCAAACTGAGTTTCCGAAGTCCCCAGCGTCCGTAATACTAGTACACATGACAGGCGCCCCGAAGGTCGACACCGATAATACAATTATAAAAATGCCAATTCAAACATTCATATCCGTGACCACGCGCTTGCACCTGCATCCCCGCCACGGCCCGGAAATAGGAACCGACCGCTCGTCCCCCTGTCAATGGTCGGTTCACAACCGACAACATGAAATCAAAAGCACATATGTTTCTCGGCTTCCCCGTGCGGCGCAACCGACGTAGTACTGCAGTAAGACAGAATGAACCTCCTGTATATTAGGTAGTCGGATTGCGATTCGGTTCCGTGGTTATCGCTTTAGCATGCATGGCGGCAGAAGTGGTTGTTCTCGGATGGCGGTGCCTAATAGCGCGCATATGCTATCGGTACACGCGTCATCGCTCGTAGCGAGCCGAGAGACCCATGGTACGGGGAATTCAGCCGGGCATTCTTTACTCTGGATGATCCAATAATAATGGGACACCGCAGCCTGCAGGGGCCACCCAACATCTACGCCGACCACACCGAAAACCATCTGAAACCCTTGGTCGGCATACCTACGAAAACAAACAACGATCGCGATCCAAACCGAGAAATATCCACAACGTGTAGTTCGGTAATACCTGGGTGGGGGTGGGATACCGTGGAAGATATGTGTTGTCGTTGGGCCGTTGGCCGAGATAACGGGACTACTCCCGGGGTGGCTCATCCGGCTGCTGGATCGTCGGTTATCGTACACTAGGTAGAGCCCCGAGTGAAATCTAATACTACTAGGTATATAGAGTACTCGTCGACGAGCTACTGAGTTGACTATCGACCTTCGCTGTGGGATTCCGCTTTTCGTAGTGATAGGTATGTAGCGACGTCCCCAAAACTATGTGCTGTGTATGCGACGATCCTGTGACAATTCTCGGCAGAGAGTGCGATCCGGGGGAGCTTCGGCTGACGACAACACTAACTAGCAGACGCTATTGCACGCTGTAAACCGCCACCCTCGGGGGTCCGGGGATAGGCCGGCAGGGAGATTGACGGCGGAGACGAGGCGTGAAAGGACGATTGGTTGCGGGTTGGATGTTCCGCGTACAAGGGGTATCTGCAGTTCCTCGTCAAGATCCGAACGCGGGATTCGCACCAGACCACAAACTCAGAGTACACTTGTCTCATGCAGCGCCTGTCCGCGGGCGGGCGGCCGCCCGGGTGTCAATTACGCCGAAGATAATATCACCATCCCAACGGTAGCAAGTGCGTACCATGTCGGAAACCGCGGCCCGGATCAATCATCATTGATGGTATTTGAAAGCGGACAGCTGCGACGCACTCGCCGCGCCGGGTCTACGGTTGGACATTCAGACTCCAGAAACCACGCAATAGGAACCCTCCTGTTCGCATCTAAAGAAAGGCCATGAACAGAACATATGCGCTTGCACATATCATACAGTCGCACCTGTGTCCCCGCAACTAACCGGGGACCTTCAACCCGAGCAATCGTTCCTCATGTGTCGATCTTCAGGTCACAGCCGACAACATGAAAGAAATTATCCGTAACCGACGTAAGACTGCAGTAATGTGGAATGCACCCCCGGTAAGCCGATGGCGATTCGGAGTGCCAGTGGTTGTCGATGTATGGCACATGTGGTTATTCTGTGATAGTGGTGCCTACTATAGTCTGCTACCGGTTCACGCGTCACTGCGCTCAACGAGCGTGGGAGACCCGCTAACGGTACGGGATTCAGCCAGGAACGATCCAACGATAAAGTAATGAGACACTGCAGACTGTAGGGGCCGACCACACTGAAAACTTTCCGAATCCGTTCGTCGTAATACGAATACGAGGATCAACCACGATCCGAACTCAGGAAAATCCATCGGATTGAATCGTGGCGTGCAGTTGAGAATTGTCAGGGTCGATGTTCCCAGGGCCTGGTGGTGAATACTGGTGGGGTTGTGAATGACCGCGATCGCCAGGCTACGCCGCCGGGGGTGGCTGATGCGGCAGTTCTACCGGATGATCTCACAGTAGCATGTCCTCGTTTCTGCTTGATCGTGGGGTGTCGATCGTGCACTAGAGTAGAGCTTCGAGAGAATTCTGGTAGTACTACTACGGTTTATTTTTCGATTGCTGTGTTGGATTGAATTTCTTCGTAGTAGCCTAATATCATACGTAGCATGACGACCGCTTCCTGCGTCTCCGACGCTATATACATGCGATTATTCTGTGACACTTCTCGGTAGGTAGTGCACTGCGGAAGGATACCGGCACATATGATTGTCCGACAGGGCTTCGGCTGACGACAGCACTAACTAGCAACCGCGAATGTCGGCTGTGACATGTGAACGGCTACTTTCGGGGAGTCCGCAATCCGGGGATAGATAGGATATCGACGGAGGCGGCGCCGAGGCGTGAAACAATGGTTGCGGGGTAGAAGCTTCCGCGTGCAACTTTGCAAGGGCTTTCTGCAGTTCCTCTTCGGGAGCGGAAGGCGGGAATTGCACGGAGTTACATACTCGTGAGTCGTAGATTGACTTGTCCAACGCAACCCATCTCCGTGGCCGGCCGGCCGATGGAAAAGTTGCCGAATTGATCCGAAAGGTCTCGGGCTCCACCGAAGATAGTATCACTAATGGGTAGCAGATACCGCGTCGAAAACCATCAAGCGGGATGAATCACCGATCATTAATGATGGTAGGTAGTTGAAAGTTGACCGCTGCGTGCGAAGCTCTTGCCGAGTTGACCTTGCCGATGCCGGACAACCCGATTCCAGACTCCGGAAATCACGGAAAAGAATTCCCCCTCCCAGTTCGCATGTAACCAAACGCCAGGAACAGAAAGAGTACTCTCTACAACCATCATCTCAATCATACCGTGTTGTCGGCAAACAACGGGTCGTGACTCTTGCATTTTCTGATCTGGCGTGATACGGCGATGTCGTCTTCGCGGGAAAGGTTCGCGGCCGGAAGCAGGTTCATGGGGTGGCTGGATTCCGGCTGCTGCTGCCTGCTCGACTGCGGCACCAATTCCACCTCCGCCGAAGCTGCTGGCGTACTACTCCGAAACTGCAGGCGCAGCTTCGTCCTCACACACACGCCAGTGGACACGAGCAGCGGCCACAGCGCGGGCGCGCTCGCCGAAACAATTCCAATCGCGAGCTCCGTCCTGCTTGCTGTCAACACGTACCGCCCCCCGCACACTCATCAACCGGCAGGATATGGTATACTCACGTGGTCCAGATCGCCATCGACGTAGCCGTGCTACTCGGATCCACCCCACCCTTCACCAACGTCGCAACCCGGAATAGCCCCGCCACGCAGGCGAGGCCGCCCATTCCCAACAGGCACGCGACGGCGGTCTTCTTCCGCCATCCCAGGAACTGCACCCGAACGACCAGGAGTACGGGCAAAACCCACGCGAAGATATCCAGCACTGCACTGGTGATCGGAGTCGAAAGCTGGATGAGGTAGAAGTTCAGACACCGCCCGTGGACAGATCCGCCCGGCGAAAACGAGGCCTTGACCGGGATGCACGTGAAGATGATCAGGAACGTGATGATGATCGTGAAGGTGACGTTGCAGATCATCAGGAGTGCCGCGGTCCGCCGGATCAGGGAGTACGGTGCGAGACGACGCGTCAGGATCAGGACCGAGACGCGGGTGAGTGCCGATGTGACAGGGTACAACGTGCGTGTTATGCCGTCGAGAAGTGCCTGGCTGCGGCCGGCGACTAGAGGAATGGACTCGCTCGGTTGGTCGAGATGGTAGTTGAGTACCATCAAGGAGTGGATCACGACTAGGGCGACGACGAGAAACTGCTCAAGATCAGCATTGATGGCGTGACAACACAAGAGGAGAGGGCCGGGCTCACGGCTGAAAGGAGAATGCAGACATCGTCGCCGCTTAGCTTTCCCTGCAGCTTGAGGCGTGAAAAAACTCGGCCGACGAGGACCACGACGATGAGCGTGAGCAGCGAGAGGTCGACGACGAGCAATAGATGTGGCATGTTATACTCCGGGAGTCGCAATGACATTGCTCCTGGAAAAGGCGAGGAAGATGGGCAGGATGGAGAGCAATGAGGGCACGACGGTCGAAGGGAGCGCACTTGGGTAACTATCCACATTTACCGACTAGGCAAGGGAAGAATCCACCGTCTTAATCCCGATTACTCATGCGAGCCGTATGGGCGGGCAGGAGATGACAGGTAGCGGTGGTCGGCTATCCCCGCCTCATCTCTCCGTTCGACAGGATCGCTGCCCTGCCACCGAAAGGCGCAATGTGTACCTAGTTTGAGAAGCCGCCGCCGCGTGTTCCCCGTATCGTTCACGTCGAGGATGTCTACTAATAGACAGCTTGACCGCATTCCAGTCGTTGCGCACGAAAAAAGCCAATCGCGAATAACCAATTCTGGTCCTGACGCAGGTACCGAACATGAACGAGATGACCGGGAAAAAGCAATGACCGCACCCGAGACAGTGGACGCGAATGCTGGGGTGACAAAGCGTGGCAGGAAGCGACCCGCCGGCCACTCCGAAGATGTGCCAGGGCCAGCCACGCTAGCCGTTGGAAACACAAACCCGGGGTTTCGGCTAGAACTTGGAAGGTTGTCTGGATGATCTTGAAACCACGGTGTCTCCACGCGTACTTAGGCAATTCCTCGGGTAAGTGCCCCGAGATATCATACTCTACAGATCGATAAACCGCACCCACGTGCGCAAGAAGATCTCAGCTCCATCCCTTGGTCCAGCTAATACAGGGAGAGGTTTTCAGGCACGCGAGCATCAGTTCAAGTGCCGCCGAACCTGGAAGGAACGACAGAGAGAACTGTGGGGGAGGCGGAGATGATCAGCGGCAGAGTCGAGACCGCAGGCGAATAGCCGACATGTTCGCCGATGAGCGGTTGGCGGGAGTAATCTTGACATTTCTCGGACACACGGAGATCGGAAGGAGAATCGATACCGGGAGAAGAAAGGCAGCGCGGCCCGCCGCCGAGCGAGCCATCGGGTGTGGACTACAGGGGCGAGTAGTAGAAAACGTGGAGGAAGGACCGAGGGGAGGAGAGGCGCAGCGGTCGTGGCAAGCGGAAAAATGGTTTGTGTTTTACATTGGCTTCTCTCGGGGGCAGGCGAGGGACGCCGATTAGCTACATACTCTCGTTGCGGCCGCTCTCTATCGTGCGGACGCCGTGATGTATATATGTCGCGAGATACGTCCATAAATTGATTTCCCGTCCCCCCATAGAGACGTTGCAAAGCCACCGGCCCCGGGGGTGGTGGTTGTTTCTATTTTTGGTATCACTCGGCAGTGTCATGTGATGAATCATGCTGTCATACGCCTTTCGCTGCCAGCTTTTGGTTTATTCAATCATCATTGCAATTCGAACTTAGTAGATCATGACAGATCAGGTACTATACTTATGTACTTCCTACTTTCTTTCTTCCCGCGGCTGTCACCAACCGCTGGGTCCGAACTAATACCGGTTCCCTATTGCTCACCGCCGCCCAGCCCACCCTGCTCGTCAATCCTCCCTGCCCCCTCGTCGCGGAATCCCTGGGCTAGTACGCCAACACGGAGAGCCACGCTTCTAGACTCGCGGACGGATTAGACTTGGTGTCACTGTTAGCGTTCGCCGAAGTCCAGTGTTCTCCGTCGTCCGGTCCGTCCGTTCTGGACCTCGGACGAGGACGAACGGCGTGCCTCCCGTCCGTCCGAGCCTAGGCCGTGACGGCCAATATTGCTTCAGCGGCTAGACGCAACGAACGACGGAGGATTGCCTTCAACAGCCGTCCGCCACCGTCCGCCACGCCTTGGACCAAAACCTGATTTCGGGCATGGACATTTGTGTCCGAGTGAGATATGGTGCCCGCTGGGCTGTGCTGGTGGCCGGGCACTGCACCTTAGGCGTCCGAATCAGAATTCCGCTAGTTTTCACAACATGTGGATCGGTGAGGCATGAGCTGACGCGGTAGTATGTAGCATATCAGAGCTAGAAATCATCCATCAGCGAAATCATATTCACGTGACTTGGACGGCCGCCCCCCACCGTCGGACGGGGACCGACCCGCCCGGCCCCACCTCGTACCTGACGGCCAACTTCTGCAAATGTCCGTCCCGCCCGGAGGTCCTTCGGGACCGGACGATGGAAAAAATTACCGTGGTCCAACAGGCAAATAGATGCGAATTAAAATTGGTGACCCCCCCTCCCCCCCCCCACCCGCTCAACCCTACGCCAACCACCAACAAGAACGAAAAGAATGAAAAAAGAAAGATAGTAGGAAAGAGGGAATGAATGAAAGAAGGTACTCGTTAATCTAGTTCTCGTCCCGTCCAACGTCCTGTAAGCTGAGGAGCTAACAATTGCAGTTTTTTTGTCCCTGCCACCCGTAGTTTCTATGTGCTCCGCCGGCGGACGGTCTCCTCGTTCATCTTATATCTTCTTTCTCGCCCTGGTTCTCACGCTCTGTCATCCGTTTTCTAGGTCTGATGATGTCTGGGTGAGGAGACTGACTGGGGTGGGGGCGAAGGGTGACTCGCCCGTTTCCGCCATCGAGGTTTCGTATCTCCTCGCATTTACTTCTCTGGTGTCTTTCACCCTCACCGCCCTGTCTACCGCCGATGTTCCTGCACTTGCCCTACCTATCTGGTCCTGCTGTGATAAGTGGGGTTTGCCGCTGACGCTTACAAGTGCTTGTGCCCCCCAGCAATATCACTCTATACACACGTCTTCCGACTCTCAGCCAGCGGCGCTACCTTAGGTGGGCTGCATCTAGTAAAGTGGTTGGAATACAGGAAGATATCAGGGCTTCTCCGTCCGGCCTATTAACTCGAGCTCTGCCGTTATCACATGAGGTAGAATGGCAGTTCAGTACCTATGTTGGCAGGCCGTCACAGCGCAGCACCCTGGGCACATATCCACAGACGGTGCCCGGACAATATGTCTGGGTGAAGTCAAATTTAGATCACTCAACGCATGGCAGAGAACCTGCACTGCTTTCCAGAACCGTAATTTTTCATGCAAGATTCCCCACGAATGACATTATCAGCGGCTCCAGAGATCATTCGCCCGGCATGGGAGTCGGGACCAGAGGAAACTTCCACGTGGAGCCCAAATACGCTAGGTAACACATATCTGAACAGAAAAGGATATGAGTACTACTAGGGCGGTGAATAGGACGTTGCATCCGTTTTAGGGTTACCCTGAGCCCGAGAGGGGACGGAATTGGTCGGGCTTAGCTTGCAGTACTTTGTATGTACCCATGTGGTGAAAATTTACTTTGTTGAGGGGCCCCAACCTGCAAAGCCCCGCCGAATATTACTCCAGCATCGACGACCTTTGTTGTTGTATGGACACGAAATGTAGGGTGAGAATCCACATTCAAGCAAGCCAGCAGTGGTAATAGAGAACTCTTTCCGACGGCGGATTGAGTGCCCAGACCGACGAATTCGACGACGATGAGCATGAAGCGATAGAGAATCGAGCCTCGGTCCCTGACGGGAGAACTGCACCACGGGTGCTACGTCCGAACCTCAGAAGAGGTCTTACAATCGCTTCCCCGCACATTATCATCGATTTCATCACTCTAGGAGAGCCTGTTTAGCAGGCGATACGGCGACGGCGAGGAGGAGGGTGAACTCCAGGGGGAGACCTCAGGGCTTGGCCCAGGACCACGTTGACCACGACGACTGGCATTTTGCCAATCCCGCCTTCGATCCAAATATCTTCGCTGCTATTCATCAGGCCCCGGCCTTCGCAGCTGCGCAAACCCCGAGACGACGATTCCTTTCGAGCACCATGCCGTGTGCGCTAGACTTGTTATGTTGAGAGTAGTTCCGAGTGGAGGTACCTTTTGGAGAAGAGGAGGGCTACGACGCGCCGCTACAGCGCAAAACTGACAACCCGAGCCTCTTCGGAGGCTCACTTTTGAAATATTGCGAGGACGAGTGAATTTGCTGTCACTTCTGTATGGATTTGGTTGCGGAATTTCTTTGTCGAAATGTTGTATTATACATACCTCTACCGGCCATAACCTTAGGGTTCCATGCTGTATGAACAATCAATCAATCAATCAATCAGTGGTCATAGAGTCAGGCGCGTGCTGAAGAGTTGAAATCCTCTAACCCGGTCAAGGACGGCCACTTTGGGATCCAGCCTTTTTCATAGTTGGCGGAAGATTATCCCGTCGGGGTTTACCAAGCGCCAGTGCCGAATTGTTCGAGACAGCTCGGGCGCTCGATTCAATTATTTTCGTTGCGGCGATTCATCTAGTAGAAGGGTTGTAGTCGTCTCACCAGCCCTAGTAACTTTCCGGCGACTATGTAGCAAGTCACGGCACGGTTTTTGTTTTTTTCTGGTGCTACATATCTCGGATGGTGAGCCGCATAACCGTTCCTTCTCGGCGGGTGGATCCATTGGAGCGCCTGAGCACTAACTGACACTGTTGGGTTGTACATATGATCAAGTGACGCCGGAATGACTCAATCAACGGATGATGATTTAGCTCGTGAACAGCTATGCAGTGCTTCTCCATAAGGCCTCCTTCAGTTGCCATGTTCCGGGTTACGTCAATAAGCGCGGAGCGGCTGAAAATTCGCTATGCATTGCTGCCTGGTATGCACGGTATATGCAGACGATCAACGGATTAAGCGATTGCGCTACGGATGCCACCAATGAACTCCAGCACCCCCGTCAAAGCCTAATCACACCCCCCCATCGCGCAGGTGTCAGCTGCAACCGATTGTTCCTGTCTGCCTGTGGCGCCGATTTCGGAACCACGCACGTGTGTCGCTATGGTCTCCCGCGCACGACCGAGCTACACCATGAAAAGAGAAAGACATGCGGGACAACATCTAGCCCAGCGAACGCGAGTTGGCAAACTAGGCATCGTAGCAGGTCGCATGGCGGCCGTTCGTTGGATGGTTTCAAAGTCTTCCTTTCGGTGTCACTGTCGTTGGAAGTTTGTGAGCACCTGCAGGAGTTGAAGAGTGCGGTCCGGAGAGATGGGTCAGGATGACTGCATCGCCATTCTTGAGCATCTGTTCGACGTGCAGTTGGTGATAGCACTCCCGTGATGAATCCCACCTCCGCCGTGCTACCGTATCCTACCCGTTGAGTCGCTCCATATCACTAGAAACGTACTCTGGCTAATGCCAGTGCCGGCATCGCTGTGTGCTACGGTGATAAGCTCATGATTTGTGATCTCCACCGTTACGAGCAGGGCAGTGGATGCTTGTTCGACTACTAACAGAGAAGCAATTACCATTGGTAATGAGCATACTCGTCGAGTGTATAGCCATACGCGAAGAGACTCAGCCTGATCCAATGTAGCACTAATGCACGTGCCCAGCGAACCCCACAGCTAGAGGACGCCACATATGCGGGCCCACAACTAACATCTATAGCAGACTCTGGTATATCCTTAATAATATCTCCATGGCAGCCTAAGTGGCCATTGTGGTCAATGGCAGGGGACAGGAAGCCACGCGCGAAGTGCGCACGTTCGACATACAGCCAACAATAGGTGTCCGATACAGATTCAGCCTTCAGGACGGTGCCTGTCTGCCGAGGGTTTACGGGGAAGTACAAAAGCAGCGAGCCCTGGCGTGCGCAAATTTGCACCAGTGAGCAATAGATATCAATCAAACTTGAGTTTCTTTACACCTAATACCCTCGCCAATTTTAAATCCTAGTACCTGCTCTTCCGGCAAAGAATCCAGTGCTGCTCGAATCAATATCATTACCGCTCTATACTAGCTACAGAATCCACGCACTATGGCCTACTACGACTGGAACGACGGTAGTATGACCTACCATGGTACCCAGAGTTACGTCTACGACGGTTCTGGCTCCGGCGACGATGACATGGGATTCCCCGGTGGTGGCGTCGGCAACGATGACGAGAGCGACGAAGACGAGAGCGACGACGACGAGGGTGATGATGGCGAGGGCGACGAAGACGAAAGCGACGAAGACGAGGCCGACGAAGACGAGGCCGACGACGACGAGGGCGATGATGGTGAGGGCGACGAAGACGAAAGCGACGATGGCGAGGGCGATGATGACGAGGATGACGATGACGAGGGCGACGACGACGAGGGCGACAACGACGAGGGTGATGATGGCGAGGGTGATGATGGCGAGGCCGACGAAGACGAGGCCGACGAAGACGAGGCCGACGACGACGAGGGCGATGATGGTGAGGGCGACGAAGACGAAAGCGACGATGGCGAGGGCGATGAAGACGAGGATGACGATGACGAGGGCGACGACGACGAGGGCGACAACGACGAGGGTGATGATGGCGAGGGTGATGATGGCGAGGCCGACGAAGACGAGGCCGACGAAGACGAGGCCGACGAAGACGAGGCCGACGACGACGAGGGCGATGATGGTGAGGGCGACGAAGACGAAAGCGACGATGGCGAGGGCGATGATGACGAGGATGACGATGACGAGGGCGACGACGACGACGATGGTGATTACTATTTTGATGACTAGTAAGTTAAAATGAGGAGAAATGTCTGCAGTATCTCAGCTTACGGTAGTCACAGCGACAAACATGACGGCTCGAGTTACAACTATGGAGTCACTGCAAGCGCACAATATATCACGGCTGGCTCAGGACCACCTCCTCCACCGATGCCTCAGGGCTACGGTCTAGACCCCAACGCTTTCTTTCAAGGTCAACCCCTCTTGATCTATGCCATCAGCAGGGGCGACTCGCAAGCTGCGGAATCACTTATCCGTAACGGCGCATCAATTGACCATTTAAGCATTGAACACTACAACATCACAGTGCAGTATTTTTACCAGACCCAGAACCGCTACTTCATGAACATGCTGGCGCAGAACAACCCTGCTCGTCACGGAAGAGGTTCTTCGCGCACTAGCGCCCCCTCACTGAGGCCGGGAACGAGGAGCAGTTCTTGCGCAGGGCGGTGGCCGGGTAGGGGAAGTGAAAGGGGCCACAGATCGGACAGGGGGAGTGGTGGAGCGCGGGGTTCTGACAGGGGAGGTGGAAGACGCCGTCGATCAGACACGGGGAACGGTAGAGGGCGGAGCTCCGTCAGGGGTGGAAGCGGCCGTGGGGCAGACGCGGGGAAGAGTGGAGCGCGGGGTTCTGTCAGGGGGGATGGTAGGGGCAGGGGCCCGTTCAGAGGAGGTAGCATAGGACGGAATCCGGTCAGGGGGAACGGTAGGCGCGAGCCGCAGTGTTGATAGGAGATTCAGGCTTGCGGGTGCGTACATGATATGCTAGCAGTGGTAGTGGGATTTAGTCAATGCAAGAGTATATCGCGTCAGGAAAAAAATGTACTTCATTAGGGTGTCCACCGCGTATTTATGTAGTGTCACGGTGACCGCGGCGGGTGCATACATAACGGTGGTAGGGCATTCCACCCTATCCTGAGAGATATTCCGTGGGCACGACGTCGGGTGGGCATTCGAACATCTTGTAGTTTCATTGATATCAGGGGGTCTATCTGCAAAACAGCAGTATCCGTCCTGTCCATACACCCCGTCCGCTCCCTCCCTCTTCCGTGCTCCCACAACTCTTCCGCTCCCTCGCCCTCGACTGGCCGACTCCCACAACTGTTCTGTGCACCCACAACTCTCCATGCCGTCACCTCTTCGCCGCCCTTCCCCTTGACTCGCCCTCTTTCGCCCCCCGGCCCTCGACTGGCCCACTCGCTCAATCTTCCGTGCCATCACCTGGTCCGGCCCATCGACTAATCTGTGCCATTACGACGTCCGGCCCGTGGACTCGTCCGTGCCGTCATCTCTTCCTGTGCCATTATCTCGTCCGGCGCCGCCATCGCCTTCCGTGCTCCCACAACTCTTCCGTGCCGTCACCTCTTCCGTGCTCCCACAACTCTTCCGTGTAATCACCTCTTCCGGCCGGTCGAATCGTCAGTGCCATCTCTTCAGGCCCGTCGACTGGTCTCCCACAACTATTCCGTGCTTTCATAACCAGTGCTCCCTATGGACCAGTCCGGACGGACTGCATCAGTACAATATAGTCCATGAAATTGGAGGACGGTTTGGATTCGGTCTGTCCAAAACATTTTCAGCCTAAGACTGAAGTCGATTGCAGTAGACTGACCGACTGCCACAATCCGAACTTGTTGGGCCGGTATGTGTTTCTTTGTTGATTGTCCTCACTGTTTTTCACGTGAATGCTCTCTCATCTTTCGCCGTACATGTTTGCTCTCACATTTGGTCGGCTGGCATCTCACATAGAGGCATCTATAAAACATTTTTATCTTGTCCATAGCTGACTGTTCATCTCATTACATCATCTGATTGAATCATCTCATTCGAATAGTAAGTCCTCATGCTACCAGTCCCTCTCCCACGGGGTAAGATAAAGAATTCTACCAAAGCTGCAGCTATGGGAACAGTCTCTGTCATGGTTCAGATATCCTTGCCTTATAGTACTTACCCCGTGTACTTTATTACTGTGACACCCTTATAGACTCTCGGGTAGTCGCAGCGGGAGCGGTTCGTTGGGAAGTGATCAGAATACAGGAATAGATAGTTATAGCATAGAGATGAGTTAGGCAGCAGTGAGCAAACGGGATCCAGAGTCTAGACAGCGATCGGCGATACGGACGATGCATAGTCAAGTCCGATACGGCCGAGAAGACCCGAGGCAGTGCATCATGGAACCCTGTAGAAAGGAACGCCAATCATGGATCCTGTTTTGACGCGCGATTACCAATGTGTCGACAAAATAGAACCCTGTAGAACCGGGCTGCTACTTAGTGCCGACATGAAGATATGTACTGCTTACTCTGAGCTATGCTCCGGTAGGAAGTGGTGAGCACTTCTTGCCTAGTCTGAACGGCTATCCCTGCGACAACTTACGGCGACTCTACAGCCTAGACCCAGTGGGTAACTCTTCGTAGCGCTTACGCCAGAGCATGACACAACGGGCGTTTACAACGGAGTTCCCCACACCAGAGTTTTCTGATCACGTGCTTAGGTGTACGGGTAGACTATATAGTCACCCGACAATCGTCACGGAAATCCCAACACCAGCACAACCAGGAACACCAAACACTACTGATGATACCCCTTAAGATTATTCCGATGTGAATTATCGAAATCCCTGGCTTTTATTGTATACTCAATATTTATCAAGACTCCGACGTCCCGAAACCGTTCCAGTCTCACATTATGATCTTAAGAGTTATAAGTTACCGTTTTCACAACCAGAAACCATTATGTCATCCTCCAACGTCCACATGCTTCGCCTCAAATACCCACAGACGCTGAACGTTGCGCTGTCGACCACACACACGGCTGGCGCAACGATCAAAATCGCGAACCTGTAATAAAGTACACTGGGAAAGTACTATACCACTCCACGAAAAGATATTTTGATAGCTGAACGCCATCATCCCAGTAGCTACTTAAGGCCAGGATTTCTGAACTGTGACAGAACCCCTCTGCCTGGTTGAGAATTGTCACGGCTCACAACGGAACGTTTGAGCAAGAGCCGGAATAGGGGTCGGAAGGCAGCGCAGGGGCTGCGCAGGGGGCTGCGCAGGCGGCAATGCAGGAATGAGTCGGAGGAATTGTGGCTGTGTGTTGGAGACAGGGGTAGCGCGGCAGCGCAGGCTGTGAGTCACTGGAGCGGGGTATCGGCGAGGAGGATTTCTCAGGGTCTGGCACATGCCCACGGTCATTGTCGGGTTGCGGGAAGAAGTGGAGGATTTCCTATATAAACGGGCCAACGCCCCTCTGTAATTAGTTCTTCACGCAACAACTTGTTGATTCAACCACTGTTGACTCTGTCCTTGCTTCGGCTGCCGTCTCCGCCGTAGTCCTTGTCTCTGTCCTTGTTTCTCAGTTGCCGTCTGCACTCAGCCCTGCCCTGCCTCGTTCTCTGAGCCCGCCTCGTCTCAGCCCCGCCTAGTCCCCGATCACCAGCCCGACTTCGCTATCTGGAGCCTGACCAGACCGTGCTGTTACAAAACCGTTCACACGGTGAAGGCACAGGCAACAAACAGAACTTCCACCTGGACGTCCGGCGTAACACTTGGGCATAAGGGTAGCACCATCCACTCAGGTGGATGGAGCGAGGATAGTTACCTGGTTGATCCTGCCAGTAGTCATATGCTTGTCTCAAAGATTAAGCCATGCATGTCTAAGTATAAGCAATCTATACAGTGAAACTGCGAATGGCTCATTAAATCAGTTATCGTTTATTTGATAGTAACTCACTACTTGGATAACCGTGGTAATTCTAGAGCTAATACATGCTAAAAGCCCTGACTTCGGAAGGGGCGTATTTATTAGATAAAAAACCAATGACTTCGGCCTCCTTGGTGATTCGTGATAACTTTACGAACCGCATGGCCTTGCGCCGGCGATGGTTCATTCAAATTTCTGCCCTATCAACTTTTGATGGTAGGATAGTGGCCTTCCATGGTTTCAACGGGTAACGGGGAATTAGGGTTCTATTCCGGAGAGGGAGTCTGAGAAACGGCTACCACATCCAAGGAAGGCAGCAGGCGTGCAAATTACCCAATCCCGACACGGTGAAGTAGTGACAATAAATACTGATACAGGGCCCTTTCGGGTCTTGTAATTGGAATGAGTACAATTTAAATCGATTAACGAGGAACAATTGGAGGGCAAGTCTGGTGCCAGCAGCCGCGGTAATTCCAGCTCCAACAGCGTATATTAAAGTTGATGCAGTTAAAAAGCTCGTAGTTGAACCTTGGGTCTGGATGACCGGTCCGCCTCACCGCGTGCACTGGGAATCCGGACCTTTCCTTCTGGCAAACCTCATGCCCTTGACTGGGTGTGTTAGGGAACCAGGACTTTTACTTTGAACAACTTAAAGTGTTCAAAGCAGGCATTTGCTCGAATACATTAGCATGGAATAATAAAATAGGACGTGCGGTTCTATTTTGTTCGTTTCTAGGACCGCCGTAATGATTAATAGGGATAGTCGGTGTAATGGCACGGTCGGGCAAGGCTCCAGGTAGCGAAGCCGGGCTGGGGGTCGGGTTCTGGGTTCGGTAGAGGCAAGACAGGTTCAGGGGACAAGGTGAGGCAGGGCTCAGTGCAGACGGCAACTGAGAACAGAGGCAGGGACAAGGACTTCGGCGCAGACGGCAGCCGAGGCAAGGGCAGAGGTAACTGTGATTGAATTAACAAGTTGTTGCGTGAAGAAACAAGTACAGAGGGGCAACGGCCCGTTTATATAGGAAACCCTCCACTTCTTCTCGCAACCTGACAATAACCGTGGGCGTGTGCCAGACCCTGAGAAATCCACCTTGCCAGTACCCCGCTTCCGTGACTCATACCCTGCGCAGCTGCACTACCCCTGCTTACTGCACACAGCCCCAATTCCTCCGGCTCATTCCTGCATTGCCGCCGGCGCAGCCCCTTGCACTGCCCCCGCGCTGCCTTCCCACCCCTGTTCCGACTCTTCCTCGAACGTCCCGTCGCGAGCCGTGACAGTAGCCCCTCCTAAGGCTCGAGTTCCCACGAGAGCAAGTTGAACTGATCCAGGCTTCATTGGGTACCGTTGGTGGAAGTCGTCCACTGCCTGTACGTCCACAAGGTTCTCCTCAGGTTCCCACGTCGGTGTCGTGAAACCCCTCCACCTGACTAGGTACTGGAGTCTTCCCCTCAGCGTTCTGCTGTCCAGCACTTCCTCCACCTCCCATTCTTCTTGGTCGTTCACAATTACCGGTAACGGTGGCGGCAGGATCTGGCCGGGGAGGGGGTCGTCGGCCGGTGCATGGAGGAGGGACACTGGGAAGGTGCGGTGCTTTTGGATGGTGTTTGGGATGTCTAGTTCGTATGCGTGGGTTCCGATGGCTCGGGTAATTCGATAGGGTCCGTGGTGTTTGTTTTCCAGTTTTCGGCTTGGTCGCTCCGTCCGCCAGTTTCGGCCGTCCACCCGTACCATGTCTCCAGGCTGGAAGGCCGGTGCGGGGGTTCGGTGCCGGTCCGTGTTGTCCTGCTGCTGTGCTTGGGCGTATCGCATCTCACTGCGGGCAACGTCATGAATCTGCTGGAGTCGCTCTGCCGCTGTCTGTGCCTGTCGCTCTTCGTTTGTGTCCGTTCGGATGTCAAGCTCGAAGTCGCAACGGGGGTGGTAGCCTAGGTTAGCAAAAAACGGGGACAGGGTGGTGGTGTCGGATGCCTGGTTATTGCCAGCAAACTCTGCCAAGAATAGGTAGTTGACCCAGTCATCCTGCAGGTAGCTCACGTATGCTCGGAGGTGTTGTTCCATCACCGCATTCATTCTCTCTGATTGACCGTCCGTCTGCAGGTGGAACGCCGTGGAGAGCCGTGCGTCAAT